GAATGTTCAAACTACCGTATAATTGCACTCATTGCCCATGGCTAGCAAGATAATGCTCAAAATCCTTCAAGCTAGGCTTCATCAGTACATGAACTGAGAATTTCCAGACATACAAGCTGGATTCAGAAGAGGAGAGGAACCAGAGATCAAATTGCCAACATCCATTAGATAATAGAGAAAGCAGGGGAATTCTAGAAAAAAATCTACTTCTGCTTCACTCACTACCCTAAAGCCTTTGACTGTGTGGATCACAACGAACTGTGGAAAATTCTTAAAAAGATGGGGTTACCAGACTGACTTACCTGTCTCCTGAGAACCTTGTACGCAGGACAAGAAGCAACAGTTAGAATCGGACATGGAACAATGGAATGCTTCAAAATTGAGAAACGAGTATGTCAAGGTTGTATATTGTTACCCAGCTTATTTAACGTCTATGCAGATTACATCATTGGAAATGCTGGGCTAGATGAATCACAAGCTGGGATCATGATTGCTACGAGAAATTATGAGCAACTTCAGATATGTAGATGACACCACTCTAAAGGCAGAAAACCAAGGGGAACTTAGCCTTTTGATGAGGCTGAAAGAGGAAAGTGAGAAATCTTGCTTAAAATTCAACATTCAAAAAACTAAGATCATGGCATCTGGTCCCATCACTTTATGGCTAGACTTGTTTGGGAAACGTGGAAACAGTGACAGATTTTATTTTCTTGGGCTCCAAAATCACTGTGTGTGGTGACTGCAGCCCCAAAATTAAAGGATGCTTGCTCCTTGGAAGGAAATGTATGATAAACCTAGACAGCATATTAAAAAGCGGAGACATCATTTTGCCAGCAAAGGTCTGTGTAGTCCAGGCTATGGTTTTTCAGGTAGTCATGTATGAATGTGAGAGTTGGACTGTAAAGAAAGCTGAGTACTGAAGAATTGATGCTTATGAACTGTGGTGTTGAAGAAGACTCTTGAGAGTCCCTTGGACTGCAAGGAGATCAAACAGTCAATCCTAAAGGAAGTCGACCCTGAATTGGAGCTGTAGCTCCAATACTTTGGCCACTTGACATGAAGAGCTGACTCATTGGAAAAGACCTTGATGCTGGGAATGATTCAGGGCAAGAGGAGAAAGGGGGCAACAAAGGATGAGATTGTTGGATGGCATCACTGACTCAATGGACGTGAGTTTGAGCAAACTTTGGGATATGGTGATGGATAGGGAAGCCTGGGGTGCTGCAGTTCATAGAACTGCAATGAATTGGACTTGACAGCACTAAACAACACCACTTAATTTGTTAGGATATTGGTTTGGCTTTTAATAGAGATCAGATACCAGTGGCTTAAAAAAAAATAAAAGATTTACATTTCTCTCTCGTGAAAGTCTAAGTTAGTCTAGGGGTATAGACAGGTTTGCTTCCTGAGGCTAGCCAGAGAACAGAGTTCCTTCTCTCTCCTTTTGCCATTCCCTTGGTCATATCCTCATGCACAAAGCTGAATCTGCCTGCCCACCCTTTTACCTGAGTTCTCGCACATGTGAAGCATGAGGATTGGAAGAGAAAATAAGTTCTTTCTAAGGATATAATCTAAAACTTGCAAGTGCTGTTCCTACTCACATCCTATTGGCTGCAATTTAGTTATGTGGCCATGGTTTTCTGTAAGACAGATTGGGAAATGTGGTTCTGCCCAGCTAAACATCAGAGCGTTTTATTAATAAAAGGAGAGAGAGCATGATACTGGGGTCAGGCAGTTACTCTGCCCTACTGTCTGCCCTGGAATGCATGTGCAGTGACCTCCTTGGCAAAACTGTCTTCCCTTATTTCACTACACTTAGAGAGGAAAAGTATAGATGCCTTAAGAATCAGGTATATTTGTTGAATCATTATGGCAATTAAAATTGATATGAATATTTGCTTCCCCTTTCTCTAAACTCCTCAGAGACAAGGTATGATTTTTTTTGTTTATATATTTTGTACCTGGCTTAGGGCCTAACCGTAATTAGGTACTTGCTGCCTATTTATTGACCGATTACCCTTTTTTCTGTGTTGATTGAAATGTCTCTAGCAGAATTTTCATAAGTATTTATCTGACCTGCTTTCTCCTTAATTTTTTCATGATATCTGTTTTGTTAGAGGATTACCGCTCAAAATATATGAATATGACCCTTCTATCAGATTTTTATAGCTATGGATGACAGTATAGTGTGTTATGTGTTTTTGGTATAGTTTTGATTGAATAATTAGTGTTTTACAATATAGATGTTAGATGTAAGAAATCATTTGTAGTGTGGCAAATGGCATGTTTAGTAATGTGAAGAAAGTAGTAATTTACCTGAATTCCATTGTCTTAATAGTTTGAGTTCAAAATTTCTTAAAATGAGTTGTGTTTTTTGATTATTATTTTACTGATGTTTCAGTTTGTCACATTTTATATTTTTCTCACATTTTTATTCTTAAGGATAAATAATCTTGAGTCACTACTTTTAAAAGGTTGAATCACCAACACTCAGTTTTTTCTTTTAGTTAATTTCAGTACTCATAGTTAGAAGAATTTTATTTTAAGCATCTATTTGGAGACCTGAGGGATACAATTAAAGAACTTTGGAGATCATTCTTAATTTGGTTTTTAGAACAGAAGGAAATATACTGTAACTTTCCCTTATTTTTCTGGTGGAGAGAAACTTTTTTTGCCAGCAGGAAAATGCAGTTCCACTAAGATTCTTGGGTCAGAGATCAGAGGCTTGGATCAGCAAAAAGAAACGAGCTTTTGGAAGAATTTTAGGCCAATATTATGGGCCAGTTTAAACTACAATGTAGGCAATGGCAGGGTGCCTCCTTTTCCCTATAAGGAAGGAAAAGCCACATAGCAGTGATATTTACCAGAGTAAGGAAGGAAGGCTGTGTGTCGGGTGGGGGTGGGGTGGGAGAGCTTCTCAATAAAATGTTCATTTGTCTGACTTTATAAGCAGCTTTGCAGCCCTCTTGGAAAAACTTGAAGGGGGTTTAAAAAAAAAAAAAGGAGACTTGAAGTTCTGTTAAAAGAGAATCAGAATTTTGTTTGTTAAATTTGTCCAGGGCTAGTCGACTCTTATTTCTCCTAGTAATGAAGATGTGCAGCTGTGAAGAGAATCCAAAAAAAAAAAAGAAACCACTTATATTTTACATTGGAGAGCATTTTGTGATTATTTTTATTGCCGATTGAACTTTCTAGTTGTGTTTTTCTTTGCTTGCAATCCTGGAACACACAGTGTTGGATATAGGGGAAGGCAGTTATGGAGCATACTCTGGGTGGAAGGAAGTGACTGGAAATTTTTAAAAATGTCAAGATAAACAGCAAATCAGTCCCAAAGCAAATAATACTTGGCTACTGGTTGTACTTTCTTATATAATTTTGCTTTTCTTATTAAATGCCTCAAATTTCCCAACTATATTGTGAACCTTGTTTTGAATAAATTTAAGTTTGTGTGTAGTGATCACTTATTTTTTTAGTTTGTTTTTAATGTGTGTGTATATATGTATATTATTTTTTAAAAATATTTTTTTCCATATGGTTTATCATGGAATGTTGAATATGGTTCTCTGTGCTATACAGTAGTACCTTGTTGTTTATCCTTTCTATTATGTAGCTTTTATCTACTAACCCCAACCTCCCACTCCATTCTTCCCTCACCCATCCCCCCTTAGAAACCACCAGTTTCTTCTCTATGTCTGTAACTCTGTTTCTGTTTCATAGATAGACTCATTTGTGTCATATTTTAGATTCCACATATAAGTGATAGTATTTTTCTTTCTGACTTATTTCACTTAGTATGATAATATCTAGTTGCATCCATGTTGTTTCAGATAGCATTAGTTCATTCTTGTTTATGACTGAATAGTATTCCATTTTATGTATGTACCACATCTTCTTTATCTGTTTGTCTGTGGATGGACATTTAAGTTGTTTCCATTTCTTGGCTATTATGAATAGTGCCACTGTGAACATAGGGGTGGGTGTATATTTCCCTGGAGGCTCAGAGGTAAAGAATCTGCCTGCCAGTGCAGGAGATGCAGGTTTGCTCCCTGGGTTGGGAAGACTCCCAGGAGAAGGAAATGGTAACCCACTCCAGTATTCTTGTCTGCAAAATCCCATGGATAGAGGAGCCTGGCATGCTGCAGTCCATGGGGTCGCAAAAAGTTGGACATGACTTAATGACTAAACAAAAACAACAACTGGATATATGCAGAGGAGTGGGATTGCTTGATCATACGGTAATTCTGTTCTTAGTTTTCTGAGGAACCTCCAACAAATAAGTCTTTTACCTCTTGTTTAGGTTAGGTTTATTCCTAAGTTGTTTTTTAATGTGATTAAATGCATTTTTTAATCCAGTTTCAGTATCAAGGAGATTTTTCTGGCCTTGTCAAATGAGTATATAGCTATGATTCTTGTTCTGTATTTTTGGCACTGCATATATAATATGAGAAATATTATAATATATATTATATATATGTATAACATTGAGGGTTTGGTAGACTTATTTGTAAAATAAAAATTTGGACTTGGTTTGTTTTTAAAGGTTGGCTCTTTGACTCTGGTTTACACTCTCCTAAAGTTATTTATCCATTCAGACTTCCATCGTCTTTGCCAATTTTGGTATTTTGTGTTTTCCTAGATATGCATATTTTGCTTAGGTTTTCAAAAATACTGGTATAAAGTTGTACATGAAATTTTCTTATAATTGCCTATATGTTTTGATATGTAACGAAAAATTGAGAAAGGTATATAAGAGACTTAATAATATCCTGATTATCTTTGGAAAGTGGAAGTGGAATTATGGGAACAGGAAACGATAGTCTTTAGAAGTCTTATGTCCATGGGCAATATGAGAATTTCCAAATGATGGACCTGTTTTACTTTCATAATCAAAAAAGAGTATTATTTAAAACTCTAGAATATGAGAAGGTATACAGTGTTGTACAGAAATAGATTCATCTTGCTAGTCCCAGTACATTTCAGTTGTGTGTTTTCTTCTCAAGCTGGACTCTGGACTGTCTTCACACTGGGCGGCGTGGGCAGCAAAGTGGCCACTGCCTCAGAACTTTCTTCCCCTCTGGCCAACCAGAGTCTTCTGCTTCTGCTGGTGCTGGCCAACCTGACAGACGCTGCAGATGCACCAAACCCCTACAGACAGGCCATCATGTCTTTTAAGAACACACAAGGTTTGTGGTATTTTTTACTCTGAATATTCTTTTTTAATGAGGAAAGAGGGTATTGTTTACCCCAAATTGTTTACTGTTTTTCAGCAGTGGGGATGACTGTCAATTTCTGTATTTTCATGTTGGTTTAAGATGAGAAAAATTTTAATTTTATGTCTGTATTCTCAGGAAGGTCAAGTAAATTTCAGATGAGAACTACGGTTCTTTATATCTATTTACATTTCTTTCCAAGATAACCAAGTCAGCATGGGCTTAATTTGGATCCACCTGTTCTACCTATTGGGGCTTCTCTGGTGGCACTAGTGGTAAAGAATCTGCCTGCAATGCAATAGATGCAGGAGATGCGGGTTCAGTCCCTGGGTCGGGAAGATCCCCTGGAGGAGGGCATGGCAACCCACTCCAGTATTCTTGCCTGGAGAATCCCATGGACAGAGGAGCCTGGCAGGCTACAGTTCATAGGGTTGCAAAGAGTTGGACACAACTGAAGTGACTTAGCACATAGTCCTACCTATTAGGTGAAGGAATTAACCAGGAAATATGTTGTTTGAAATTTTTTATTTGAAATTTGTGTTCCAGTTAAGAGTTTTATAGAACTAAAAATAACAACAGAGCTTAGTAAACTTTTCCTACAAAGGGGCAGATGATTTTGCAGGGCCTTCTGGTCTCTGTCACCCCACCTCTTAACTGCCTTTGTAGTATAAAAGCAGCACAGAAAGGAAGTGAAAGTCGCTCAGTTGTGTCCAGCTCTTTGCAACCCCATGGACTAAAGAGTCCATGTAATTCTCCAGGCCAGAATACTGCAGTGGGTAGCCTTTCCCTTCTCCAGGGGATTTTCCCAACCCAGGGATCGAACCCAGGTCTTCTGCACTGCAGGTGGATTCTTTACCAGCTGAGCCACCAGGGACGCCCAAGAGTACTGGAGTGGGTAGCCCATCCCTTCTCCAGGGGATCTTCCGCACCCAGGAATCAAACCAGGGTCTCCTGCACTGTGGGCGGATTCTTTACTAGCGGAGCTACTAGGGAAGCACAAAAAAGCAGCACAGGTAATACATGAGCAAATGAGCCAGGCTGGGTTCCAGTAAACTTTATTTCCAAAGCAGGTGGTGGACTGTCTGTGGGCTGTAATTTGCCAAACCCTGAAGTAGAGCGTGTGCAAATATTTCCACATTGAAACAGTAATCACTTATCAAAAGGTTACACTTCTAAAGCAAGATTAATGCAGTAGCTAGGTTTTCAAAATACATCCAACACTAGTGTAATTGAGGTGGGTTAGAAGCGCAATTATTGGATGGGAGCACTTTCAGGGCTTCTGTGTTCTATGCTTTGTTCCTTTCCAGACTGTGCTAGAATGTTTCTTATAGACAGTGGATGAATGTGCTGGTTTTCGTGCCTTTGTCAATCCTGGCATTATTATTTGCAGTGGGATATGGTCTCTAGGGCTTCCCAGGTGGCACAGTGGAAAAGAATCCACCTGCCAACGCAGGAGATGCAAGAGTTGCAGGTTCGATCCCTGAGTCGGGAAGATCCTGTGGAGTAGGAAATAGTAACCCACTCCGGTATTCTAGCTTGAAAAATCACATGGACAGAGGAGCCTGGTGGGCTCCAGTCCTTAGGGTTGCAAAGAGTTGAACACAACTGAGCAGACACACACACACACACACACGCATGCGAGTCTCTAACAATTTAATAGGTAAGTAATGAAAACTCATACTTCCCTGGCTATTCAGTGGTTAAGACTCTGCACTTCCAATGCAGAGGGCACAGGTTTGATCCCTGGTTGGAAAACTAAGATCCCATATGCCATGCAGTGCAACCAAAAAGAAAAGAAATGAAAACCCATGTGTCTAATAGTATTTTGTATTCTCATTTCTATACTCTTCTTAGTGACAGTGTGACTTCAGGGTTAAAAAAGGAAGTTTTAGAGGCAAGGTGATCTGTCACACTCCTATTACTTCAGAGCTATCAAGCCTTTCACAATAAACCTTATCAGGTCTTATCTCATTATCAAGCCAATATCAGGCCTTATCTCAATAAGCCTTAATGGCTTTTTCAGTAAAATGAAGATAGTTTCACCTAATCGGATTTGTGTAAGTGCCGCACAAGGTAAGGTTTTAAAATAATTAGCTCAGACTTGGCAGCATAGCAGTGGTTCAGTAGATGGTACCTGCTGTTGTTACTTTTGCTGCGCAGGCCAAAGGATACTGTTCAGGGTTGAACCTTTGAGAGTCATCTTTGGAGAGACTGTGGTATAGTGATTCAGAACATTGGCTTTAGGGTTAGAATGACCCTAAAGGAGTCATATCCCAGATTTTAAGTATTAGATTCCTTATTAATGAAGCAGGGTTTACAATCTCTGGCTTATAAGGTTTTATAAGAATTAAGTGAGCATTTATCATAGGACAGACTCACTAAATCATTGCTGCTTTTGTAAGAAACGGTACAATGTGGTGGAAACAACAGGAGCTGATCTGTGTTTACTCAGGAATGTTCTTGGAAAAGGTTATGTATGGCAGAGGCCATCACAATGTTGTAAAATAATTATCCTCCAATTAAAAGAAATAAATAATTTTTTAACAAGTTGCTTAATCTCTGTAAGGCTCTACTTTGTAAAATTGGTCAGAGTGATGGCATGGTTGTTACATAGGTTAAATAAGGGATAATACAGATAAAGCTGTCAGTGTAATGGCTGGTTCACAGTACTTACTAGCTAGTAACAGACACACAACATGTGTATTCCATTTGTAGTCGGGCTGGGGAACTTGTTGTTTTACTTCCACTGCAAGGAGGAGTGCTTTGTCCAGGACCCTCCTCCACTGTGTCTTCTGTAGATTGTGGAACATCTGCATCCTCAATGTATTCAGCCCTTCCTTGTTCCATTCCTTGCAAAAATATAGGTCAGTCTTAACAAAACAGTTACTTTCGTGTATGTCAAAAATACAGAGTAAGTACTAAATAAGGATTAGGATTGAAAAAATAACCTGTGTTCTGAATGTGGAAGGAAAGTGAGGGCATTTTGTAATAAAATTAAAGATAGTTTTTAGGTACGTTATTCTCACAAATGTAAAGTTTAGAAAGGAAAACCTGAGAAGCATAGGGCTGTGCTGGCAAAGACTTTGTTGGTACACGTTTCTTTTCCATAAGAGCATGGCTTCTGGAAATGTTAGAACAGTGTTGTTGTTTTTTTTTTTAATTTTGTTTTGTTTTGCTAGTGGTTCTGTGTCTTAAAAAAAAAGTTCTTTGTGCTTACTTGTCAAAACATGTTAAAATATTGTTCTTTGCGCTGTCTTGTGCTAGTGTTTTATCTGTTGAAACTATAATTTCCTCTTAAGTCAGTTAACCTAACTTTACCTCCTTTTTAACTTCCTAACCTTGCTTGCTTGCTTCAGTTTTTAAGCAAATTCAGTAAACTGTAGGAAAGGGACTGTGTCGGTTTTGGAATATCAAGAACTTTTCCTGTGTGGGTTGTAATTTATGCTTTTCATCACTTCAGTAACTCTACTTAAAAAAAGTTTCTTAGTAGTTGTAGTCAATTAGTTTTAAGTTTTCCTTTAAATAAAAATATTTTATAAGTTTTCCAGTAGTTGTCTTAGATTTGGTATGTTCTGTCTATCATAGATGACAATGTTGAGCAAATTGATTTTAATATTTTTGTTATTTAAATTATATATTATCCTAGCCATTTTCTTTGTAAATGGATTAATTGCATAGATGAATACTTTAACTCTGATAATTCATTTGAAAAAAATTAACTTCAAGGCAGTTGTTCTGTTTTTTCTTTTTAACTTTTATTTTAAAAGAGGATTTCCTGTTTGTCTCTGGATATTTTTATTTAGTACTGATGGCTGTTTAGTTTTGGTATTAATAACAAAGCATATCAATGTCATGGTTAAATTATATGTATTAGAGTTTTTATTTATTTATTTATTTTTTACCTCCATAGCTGTATTTATTTAAGTTTATATTTTATTGACAATTTAATTCAGGTGTATTAATGCAAAAATAGTAATGGAATCAAACTATTAGTTTAGTTTTTTTTTTAAATACTTGGCTTAAAAAAAGCCACTCTGTTGCATGGTATTTGCTCATATATTTATAATCATTGGAAAGCTGTGGCTTAAATAGTACCAAGAAATAAATTGTCCTAGTTTGGGTTGGATTGGATTGGGTTTTTGTGTTTCTTTTTGTGGGGGATTTTGTGTGTGTGTGTGTGTGAGAACATTTCAATTCTATTCTCTTAGAAAATTTCAAATGTACTATCAGTTGTAGTCATGTTTTAGTTTAGTTCTTTTTTAAGTAAAATTTAGAACATTAATTGCAATTTTCAGCCTGAAATGTAGCAACTTATATAAAATTAATTGGAATTGAATTGTATACATTAACAGTGCTTTTATTATTTATATCAGGCAGTCTAGAAAATGTAATTTTTTAAGATTTTGTGTTTTCTATGTTCCAGATAGCAGTCCTTTTCCCTCGTCCATTCCACATGCTTTCCAGATTAACTTCAACAGTTTGTACATGGCCCTGTGTGAACAGCAGACATCCGACCAAGCTACTCTTCTTTTGTATACGTTGCTGCATCAGAACAGCAATATTAGAACATACATGCTGGCTCGCACAGATATGGAAAATCTTGTAAGTACCATATTAAGCATAGTGTTTGTATCTTATAATATTTTGAAGAGTAATTTCTTTTCCCAGGAGGGTACGTATGTTGTTTGCCTGCCCGCAAAGGTGGATAGTCAAGATGCTGGTAGGGAGGTGCCACTGGCAAAGGCAGAGGTCTGAGTTTGACAGCGTGGGAGACAGTGCACGCAGAGATGGGGTCCCAGAGCCGGGCAGGGGAGCACACGGCGCAGCGAGCGTCCCTGTCCTCAGGGGCCTTAACAGCCAGCCTGCTGCCCGTGAGTCAGCCTGATCAGTCCTGCAGGACGTGCTGGCTACCATTCTCAAGAAGGTACTTATACCCTCTCGGTTCTTTTCCACTCCTAAGTGTCCACCCACCATGTTCAAGTCACAGTTGCTGTGTATTCCTGATAAGTATGGCTAAAAGGAAGGGTGATTTTTTTCACCTCAACTCCCAAATGGCCTATCCCTTCAACTGGCTTAGATGCTAAGGCTGTCTTGAACTCAATTCCTGAAGTGTTATAGTTATTTTAAGGTACCATTGCCAGGCATCACATAATTGCACATTATCCTTCGCTGTGTGAGTGAGATTGTTCCAAATTTTTGCTCATAGACAAAAACCCCTCTAGGCAATCACTGATTTCCATTGTAACTAATATGTAAATGATAATGTTTCTATGGGAAAAAAAAATAATGTTTCTATGAAAAGTAAACTACCTCACTAGGGTGTTAATGTCACATTTGAAATACATACTATCTGGGTAACGTTGAACTATTCATGCATCAAGAAAATTGTGACCATCTCTGAAATAGCCAGCAGCTTGCTGGTGGCAACAGGAATGTCCCTTCTACACTGATTTTTACAGACTGATAGCAGGATTCCCCAGGGATTTGGTGGCTGTTTTTTTCAGCATTTAAGATGAAAATAGTAAGCATGGAATATTAGAATTTGTTTGAAGAGTATATTCTATGTCAAAGTGACACTAAGGACAGAAAAATGTGATGAAAGAACCTGTTTGCACACCAGCTATATGTGGAAAACATTGGCTTAAATAGCGAAATTGGGTGTGACAAGGTTCTGCTCATGTGAGTAAAAACTTGTAAAGAAAAGGCTTATTTACTAATGGGTGAGTGAATATAAGGAGACAGTTCTGAGCATGGTGTAGCCTAAGGGAAATGATGGCAATAGGCAGAAAGCCCATGACATCATCTGCTCTAGAAAGTTCCATGGTAAGGATGTTTGTTGGTACATAAGATCATGCAGGAGAACAGTTGTCTATATATGATGACTTAACCCCAGTGAAGAGTTAAAAGGTTTTATTTGGGGATTTTTGAGGGGAGGAGTTGGGAGAGGTGGGGCTTATACTGATCTATTTGTTTTCATTTTTAATGTTTTGTATAGATTACTTTTATAGTATTTTAGCTGATGTCCTTCCCTGTCCTTTTTGTTCTATAATTTGTTGAATCTGATTAGAAAATATGTTACTGGTAGGAAATTCACTGTGCTGGTCTGATTTTGTTGTTAACAATTCTTTTATCCTAGCATCTTTGCTATTAAAAACGTAATGTTTGACATATTACAGTGTTTCTAAGAACGTTATTGTTTAGTTATTAAAAGTGAGTGAAGTTGCTCAGTCATGTCCCACTCTTTGTGACTGTAGCCTACCAGGCTCCTCTGTCCATGGGATTTTCCAGGCAAGAGTACTGGAGTGGGTTGCCATTTCCTTCTTCAGGAGATCTTCCTGACCCAGGGATTGAACCCGGGTCTCCTGCATTGTAGGCAGACGCTTTACTGTCTGAGCCTCCAGGGAAGTTCGGTCGTTAAGTGGTGTCCAACTCATTGCGACCCCAAGGACTGTAGCTCGCCAGGCTCCTCTGTCCTTGGGATTTCCCAGGGGAGAATACTGGAGTGGGTTGCCATTTCCTTCTCCAAGGGATCGTCCTGACCCAGGGATGAAACCCGAGCCTGCTGCATTGCAGGTGGATTCTTTACCAACTGAGCCACCAGCGAAACCCTGTTTCTAAAAGTACCATATTGTGAAGTTCCCGCTACACTGGAGACTTGCCTCTATTGAGTATCAGGTGTTGGCCATGAGCCCAAGTGGTCTCTGTAAGCTCAACCTTTTTTGGCTGCGTTGGGTCTTCATTGCTATGCACAAGCTTTCTCTAGTTGCAGTGAGCTGGGGCTACTCTCTAGTTGCAGTGTACAGGCTTCTCATTGCCGTGGCTTCTCTTGTAGCACTTTTAGACTCTAGGGCCCAGGCTCAGTAGTTGTGCTGCACAGGCTTAGTTGCCTTATGGCATGTGGAATCTTCCTGAACCAGGCATCAAGCCTGCGTTCCCTACATTGGCAGGTGGATTCCTAACCACTGGACCACCAGATAAGTCCCTAAACTCAAACTTTATATGGTGGCAGAGCTTCGCGGTGGGGGGTGGTTTTCTTTTCTGGTACCTTAGCTCTGCATATGGAAAGTAATTTCAGTCACAGGTTGATTTGTGAAATTAAAGCAAAGGGTACATGATAAAAGTATAGCGGCTGAAAACAATAGTTTTATAATAAAGTAATTGAAATAATAAAATATTTATTCATTAGGTTTTACCAATTCTCGAGATTCTGTATCATGTGGAAGAAAGAAATTCGCACCATGTGTATATGGCCCTTATAATATTGTTGATCCTTACAGAAGATGATGGTTTCAATAGATCCATTCATGAAGTGGTAAGTTATCTTCACGTTGACCAGAGCTACCAAATGGACACGTAAGTCCATAAAACTTAACCACCCTTAGTGTACCCTTCTTCCTTCTTTTCCTTCTAGTAGATGTTTCTGCAAATGCCTGACTTAGTATTTTTCTTCAGATTTATGAAGTGGTCTTTTTTTTTTTTCCTTCTGAATGACTATTATTAGCTACTATTAAAAACTCTCCCCAAATAGTTCCTTTAGTTTTTTAGATAGAAATGTTTTAGATGGAAATTTATATAAAAGTGTTTATGCTGTGCTGAGGTCATTTTTCCTCTCCATTTCCGCTTTTTAGTTGTGGTGGAAATGATCACATAGATTTCCTCCTTTTATATAGAGGAATGAAAGAATAGGGAAAAAGAAAAGGACTGAAAAATTGTTTTATAAAACAATGTAAAGTAGTGTACTATAATTTAACTCCTTAAATTTTAGTCCTATCAGTGAGTTCCATTCCCAAACTGGTTTTCTCTTCCTCAGTGGTATTTTGTGTCAAAGTAATTCATGTACATAATTTTAAAACTATGTAAGTTTTAAAACTTAACAAAGAAGTACTAGGTTTCAGTGTAAAATAGCAGACCCCTTGTCCATCCCATACCTAATTGCCCCTCCCCAAAGCAAATGCCATCAGCTCTGTCCATGTTTCTAAATATTTCTTGATTTTTCAGATTTGTAGATATTAACTGTTACCATCCTAAGATAGAGTATATGATATTAGTTCTCCTTACCGTACATCTTGAGTGTGCCCTCTGGGTTCCTAGACCTGTTTCCAACGCAGACTTTTTCCTCTCCCATCTTATTACTGTTCTGTGATAACTCAGCTTTTTACATTATTGTGATTTTGTTAACTGTTACTCTACCCTCAGATGGACTGTGTGATAATTGTGTTTCCTTTCTTGTACATGTTTTAATTTTCTGTAGAACACCATTGCTTTGTTTTATGTTCATGTACCAATCACTAATGCAACTCCCACTACTTCAACAAAACTGAGAATCCCCTCTCAAGCTATTACAGCATACTGCCTATTTTCTCAGTTTCATTTTTGTTTTTGGCTCCTGTCTTCATCCTCATTAGGGGCTTTCCTCAAATGTGTGGTGCTTCTTGCTTGTTTATTTCTCTTTAGGAGCAGGCACTAAAACTTTGATTGAAGGTTCTTTGTGTGGGCAGGACTTATTCAATCTAATGTGCTCTACATAGTCTATTTCTCTGGATGTCCTGCTCTCTGTAAGCCTTTTCTTTTGGGGTGGTCAGTTTCTTAGAAGGGATTCTTACAGTCTGCTGTGGGGGTCTAGTATGAGATGGGGCTGGGAGCTTCTCCAGAGAACAGAGAAGTTATTTCAAAATAGAAAATTTGTTAAAATTTAATTTAAAAGAGTGGGGAGAAATTTGGAAAAATACTTCTTAAGATATATAAACATATGGAAAGTATATAAAAATGGCATATAAGTATATAAAATGGTATATAAGTATATAAACACTTGCTTCTTTAAAAGAGATTTTATGTGATCTTTTCTCTCCTGTTCCTATTGAAATTATTTTTGCCTCTTATGTAGTATGACTATCATTTCAACTAAGGTTTAAGTAATACTAGTGCTATAGAAAGAGGATAAAACGTATAAAATTTTTGATCCTCATATTTAGTAAAGTGCCTCGAGAAAAAATACTTGCATTGCTTTAGTTTTTTTTTTAAAGAGCATTTATTTTCTTTTGATAAGGAATAAAAAAGAATGATTTTTAAAAATGCTTTTCAATTAAAGTACAAAATAGAAAGTACACAGATTTTAAAGGTACAACTTGCGAGTTTCTACACATGTATATACCTGTGTTAATACCACCCAGATCACGTTATTGAACATTTCTAGCATAATAGAAGACTCTCTTTTGCATATTCTGGTTAATATCCAACACCACCCAGAGTTAACTACATTCTAGAGGAATTCCCTCCCAGTAGATTAGCTTTTACCTCTTCTTGAAATATAGTTGCTTCTGGGGGGAAATTGGTACAGGATACATGGACTCTCACAGCATTTTTCTTAAAACTATACTTATTTCAAAATAAAAAATTTACTAAAATTTAAAACAGTGGGGAGAAATTTGGAAAAATACTTCTCAAGAGAAGATATATAAACACATGGAAAGTATATAAAAATGGTATATAAGTATAAAAATGGTATATAAGTATATAAAGTATATAAAAATGCCTGTCACTGGGCATTAGGAAATGAAATTAGTGTGTTCTCTTTTGTTTTGGCTTCTTTCACTCAGCATAGTATTGCTGAAATTCACAAATGTTACTGCATCATTAGCTTGTTTTTTTTTATTGCCATATACTGTTCCATTCTGTGAATATGCCACTGTATATTTATTCATCCCCTTCTTGGTGAATATTTGGCTTTCTTTCCACTTGGGACCTATTTTTTGCAAAAGCAGCTATGCATATATGATCCAGCAATCCCACTCCTGGGCATATATCTAAAGAAAACCATAATTCAAGAAGATACATGCACCCCAGTGTTCATTGCAGCACTGTTTACAATAGCCAAGACATGGAAGCAATCTAAATATCCACTGGCAGAGGAATAGATAAGGAAGATGTGGTACATATATGCAATGGAATATTGCCTAGCTATTACAACGAATGAAATAATGCCATTTACAGCAACATGGAGATTGGGGAAATATTGTATGATATTGCTTTTATGGGACTTCCCTTGTGGCTCATCTGGTAAAGAATCAGCCTGCAATGCGGGAGACCTGGGTTCGATCCCTGAGTTGGGAAGATCCCCTGGAGAGGGGAAAGGCTACCTACTCCAGTATTCTGGCCTAGAGAATTCCATGGACTATACAGTCCTTGGGGTCACAAAGAGTTGGACACGACTAAGCAACTTTCACTTCCTCTTATGGGAAATTGAAAAAGAAATGATTCAAAGAAACTTATTTGCAAAACAGAAGCAAACTCACAGAGGTAGAGAATGAACTTATGGTTTTAAGGAGAGAAAGGTGAGGGGGAGGGATATTTAGGGAGTTTGAGATTAACATGTATGCACTGCTATATTTAAAATGAATAAGCAACAAGGACCTACTGTATAGCATTGGAAGCTCTGTTCAATATTATGTAACAACCTAAATGGAAAAAGAATTTGAAAAAGACGCATGCATGTATATATGTAAAACTGAATCACTTCGCCGTACACCTGAAACTATCACACATTGTTAATAAACTGTATAGTAATATAAAGTTGAGAGTTTTAAAAAATTAGTTCTGTTTTTACTGCATATGCTATAATTAAATTTTATTTCTATTTCTTAGTGAAAAAGAAGCATAATCAAAGATTTGTACATTTAAAAGTTTAAGATCACCCTTGTGTGTGTTCTGATCATACCATGGATAGGAAAACTTCTTTTAATAATTTAAAAATATCTGTTTTACTTATTTTTGGCTGCATTGGATCTTCGTTGCTTTGCTTGGGCTTTCTTTGTGGTGAGCAAGGGTTTCTCTTCGCTGTGTTGTGTGGGCTTCTCGTTTTGGTGGCTTCTCTTGTTGCAGAGCACAGGCCCTAGACAGGCAGGCTTCGGGAGCTGCAGCATGTGGACTCAGTAGTTGGGACTCATGGGTTTACTTGCTCTGCGACCTGTGGAATATTCCTGACCAGGGCTGGAACCCATGTCCCCCGCTTTGGCAGATGGATGTTTATCCACTGTGCTACCAGGGAAGTGCCAGCAAACACTTTCTAAATGAACATTGTCTGTTATCATATTCGTTATCTGTTTTTCAGGCTCTTTCTTGGTTGTTGGATGAGCCCCAGGAATAATCTGGGCTCTTTTGTTCCTGAAAATAGACACAGCATTGCTAATTTGCTATACTCTTTAGATCAGGAGCTGAGCATATTATATGCTGATCAGTTTCATTGTCCCAGTAGTAAATATGCTTGCTGTGGAAATACTTGTTTGTGGCTCAGGAAAAAAAATGTGTACTTTAAAGCATAAAAAGTGAGTTGTTTATGAAAAAAGAAGTTTAAAATTAAGGGAAATCTAAATGACAGTATTTGTAAATGTTATAATTGACTACCCAGAAAATTCAAGACTCTAGTATTAGAAATGTTAAGAAAGTTGAACAAACTTTCTGGACCATAGATTCAGAAACTAAGCTATACAAACTAAATACTGTCTCTGCATACAAATAACAACTTCAAAATATGGTATAGAGATAGTACTTAACAATGATAATAAAACCACCATGAACCTAGGAATCAAACTAAAAGAAGTATAATTTTTTAATGGCATGAATTGTCATTTAGTTGTTAAGTTGTTTCTAACTCTTTTGCAACCCCCATGGACTGTGGCCTGCCAGGCTCCTCTGTCCATGGGATTTCCCAGTCTAAAACAGTGGAGTAGGTTGCCATTTCCTTCTCTAGAGGATCTTGACTTAGGGATAGAATCTTTGTCTCCTCCATTGGTAGGTGGATTCTTTACCACTGAGCCACCAGGGAAGCCCAAATGAAAAAGACTAAATATGTATTAATAAATAGAGATATTGTGTTCACAGATGGGAAGACTCAGTGTCATAAAATTGTTAATTTGCCTTCAAATTAATTACTATGTTCATCTGACCAAAATCTTAGCAGTTTTGTGTGTGTGTATGTGTGTGTGCCTTGAAAAACTAATCCCAGAAATTATAGGGAAAAGCAAAAAGCCTAGGAAGTTTTTGAAACATTTCATTGTGGAGTTATTCACCCTACCAGATAGATCAGTTATTAAACTCTTAGTACTTAAGATTGTGTTTTATTAACAGGGGAATATAAAATAGACAAATGGAAGGAACTTAGTTCAGAAACTACACACTCAAATATGGAAATGTGAAGTGTGACAGAAGTTCAGTTCAGTCACTCAGTCGTGTCTGACTCTTTGCGACCCCACGAACTGCAGGACACCAGGCTTCCCTGTCCATCACTTACTCCCAGAGCTTGTCCAAACTCCTGTC